TTATGCAGTTGATTCTGGAAGCGTGCATGGGTGAAACACTAAGACATTCATGATTAATTATGTTCTTTCTTTATGTGACACCTTAGGTGAAGTATTTACATCATGAAACCAGAGAAAATTTTTTACGAAAATTTTTTAGGCATGCATTATTGATAGCAAATTAGAGGGATTACAATCATCTTTGAAAGTGCAGTCTAAAAGATAGAATTATATTGATCTGTCTGGGTAGTTAATTTTAATGCTTCTGGAAACAAACCAACATTAGCAAACTCTAAGGTTCTGGTTAACTTTCTAGTTGAATTTAGAGATGATATCTCCATCGTGATTCAATTATAATCTGCCTTTATAAGTCAGACACATATCCGTTAAGTGTCATTTCTTCTCTACATTCTCTTAATCCAAAGCTCAAAATATATATACCAAAATCTATTGGGAAGCTGTCTCGTTTATCTATTTTAATAATGACAGCATCATTCTGATTTTTTTCACTTTTCCATAGAATATGAGCTCTGCATTAGAATGTAGCTGCTCTTTGATTACTGCACTTGTACAAATGATAGATTTGAGCTTTGAGTGAGATCTCTGTATGACCCAGCAATGACCGTCTGTATCTTGAGTGAAGAGTTGCTGGAATTGCCTGTTACTCCAGCTTGGAAAAATCTTTAAACTTAGCTTGTTTGATAGGGTGTGCAGCTTTCATGGTGGATAGGATTTGCCTTAATCCTGGCACCTACCCAATTGTTACCTGTTCCGGGTTGTATGAAACTTGGAACCTACCTTATAGGCTCTCGGAATCACCTTGGAACTTGAGACATGTCGATTCCACATGTTTCTACCTTGTATTTTCTTTTCAGATTTTTATTATTGGAAACAAAATTGTCGTGGTAGTCCTTGTACATTTAACACAAAATATATGGCTTACATGATATAATAGATATTCATGTAATTGTACATTAGTAACACATTCCTAAAACAACAATGACATCGAGAGTAAAAACCAAAGAAATAAATCAATTTCTATCTATCGTTTAAATCTATGAGTTTACATGAAAGCTTGTCTCACTTTATTGAGAGCATGAATTAAAATGTTTCGTTATAGACATATCCAAGCTCGTCACAGAGAGTGAGGGGTGAAAAGAGTCGGAGATTTCTTTCTTCTAGTGGAATTGGGGATTGGGATCAACTAGAGCTTTCACATATATTAATGTGAAAATTTCAAAATGAAAAAAAGTCATAAATAACTAAGTACGTATAATTATTGAATAATTATTACGTCCGCTATCCGTATAAATTTCTTTTACACATCCACTGTTAGATGGGTGACATGGTATAACATATGGAGTCATGTAACCCAAATGTCACTCACAAATGTCACACCATGCAACGGTGAATGAGTAAAAAAAATTTGCACTGGAAGGTTACCTTGAACCTTTCTAGGGTACCGTGCATCGGGTCAATGCGGGATGTTGTGACTGAAATTCTATAACCTACCCCATACTCACTGGTTTGGAAATTTTGAAACGTGGAACCTACCTTTTTTTTTTTTGTGGTCAAAACGCGGAACCTACCTTGTAAACTCTAATATGCACACTAAAACCTACTCAACTATGTCAGTTGCACTGGGTAGCTCCACAGGTTCTCCTACATAATCCTAGTTGTAGAGACTGACAGAATTGTGGGGTTGTGATCCTTAGTTGTATTGAACTCGTGATTTGTTTAATCTGTTATAGGATCGGAGAAACAGCATTGTGCATGGCCTTGAATAGACTGTATAGTACAGTGTTCTCTTTCTTTTCTCTTTGGGTTCTCAAGAATATGTGTATCTCTGAAAGGTTCTTTTGAAGACGACTCGTCAAAAGGGTTGCTGGCTCCTTTGTAGCCATTACAATCTTTTACATCCATCATTGCTGGTGGGTTGCCGGGCAATGGGCCCCCTTCAATCTTTTTTTTTTTTTGGGGTCGAACCTTCAATCTAATTGTCTACTTGCTAGTCTCTGTTCCAATGAGAGATGCTCTAGCTCCCTGATTTTGTGGGGGTGATGGGTCATTCTGAATTGCTCTCTTTTGCTAGATTTGATGAGCATATTAACTTGCTCTTGTTTGGCTTATGAGCAGGAAAGGGTCATTCCAAATAAAATGCCAATTCCCTAATTCTCCAAAAGCCTCACTATTTTCGTTCCTTAAACAAAAGTACAAAAATTTATATATTGGAGATTATCATCTTATAATTCATTTTACTGACTTATTTGATGTTTGAAGTTAATCATTTTTATTTTCTTTTTTTTTTCTCTGTCATGATGAAATATGGGAACTGGAGTTCCCATTCCATTCTATTGCTTCACTTACTGTATTTTCGCCTTTGTCTGTTCTAGCATGCTGAACAAGTTTTATGAATTCTTCTGAGTCGCCAAAGAGATCTTTTTTTTTCTTTTTTTGGGATTGTTGTGCCCTGCCTTGTTCTTTAAGTGTCATGGTATTTATCTTTTGCCTTCATACCTTGGCGCTAGTAACACCATAAAACTGCATGCGTCTGTCCTCAGAAGTTGGCAGCTGCTAAGCCAATTACAGTTATCTCAATATATGGAAAATATTGACAAATCTGTGAAAAATTTGAGTAGGTGACTAGACCCAATCCTTCCAGCAGACCTAATGTATGCTTCTCATTTTCCTCCTTTGATGTTTTGGGGTGATTGTGTCAAGCAAAAGATCTTAAACCAGAGGAGCGTACACTGTTCACACAACTAAAGAAAAATAAAAAGGACGAACCATCATATGTGCTAATGCCAATGCAGCTGCTAGAGCTTGTTGGCGGCTTTTATCATCATCTCAAATCAATAGATCTTGCTTAAAGACTAATAGCAATTTATGAGTCTAAATCAGAGGACAAAGGACTTCACTTTCTATTTTTTATTAGATAGTCAGATGTCATTCATAAAAGATGATGAAGATAGTCAGCTTTAGCTCTTGGTTCCAGTAAAAGATAGGGTCCTAGAAGGAGAAATCGTTCCAACTACCCTGTCAACTATACAAGTCGATATTTGTATACATACAAACTGCACAGGTCACCATGCATGTTTTATTTGCTTCCCTGATTCCTGATTTTGATTTCTTTGAACCTTCTGATGTTAAGTTGGTGTTGTAATGAATGGATAGTATCTTGACATTCTCTTTGGTTGTGCCGACTGTAGAGCAGAGCTGTTACTTGCACAGAAAGATTCTGAACTTGATGAATATGCATCTTTTTTTCCTTGATAATGTTCTTATCCTATGGGTTCAAGGAGTCTGGGTCTCGTCCTTGATTGTCAAACCCGCCCCTCTAGCTACCTTTACCCGGTGGAAATGCGTTGACGTAGCAAGCACCGAGAATTCTCTCCGAAGTGTCCCTGTGTTTTGTCATTGCTTTTCTATCTGCAGGGCTGTATTATAGGTGTTAAAACTAGTGTTCTTTAAGATCTGATTGCTTTGAGTAGTGATGTTAGGCCTTTGTTCTTATTGCTGCCTGAGTTCTGAAAGATCCTAACCTTGAGGAGAAAGAAGAATAAATTTAGCTCACATCCATGTTAATAGACATTTCAATTACAGTGCAAGCCGTTCTCTAACCCACTAATGAGTCTATCCAATATTATTTGGTACATACAATCTCGACTTTCAACCGATGCATGTGGTCCATCCGTAATTTCCTTAACTGCACCCTTTAATGTCCGATCACATGTCTCTGATCACCATTGTCAACTCTCTCTCTCTCTCGCACGCGCGCACACACATCTGAATGGTGTGCAGCTCCTGCATAAGGAGGATTAATCCGATAATAACAAAGAGAAAAGACAAGAAAACATAAACCTGTAATCAATCTACACAAAAAGACAATTGTCAAAAGACAGGGATGATTAATCTAATAAAGAACCCATTAGGGAGTTAAATCCAAACCCAGGAATCCAGCAAAAGTACTTAAACAGGGAAAGTGACAACCTACCTCAACTGATTTGTCTCTATTGGTTAAAAGAGTTCATAGAAAAGAGGGTAACAAATGTTATGATACTTCGGGCAGAGCAGAAAACCAGGAACAAGACAGGTACCTGTCTTAAATTCAAACAGTGCATAAGATCTGAGAAACTATTCTATTATTTATTTAAGCATGCTCTCGAAACAATGATCTTTTTTTTAGATGGATATGATGTACAGAAGGGTCTTCCTTACAAGTGAAGAGTGACATTTTCTATGGATGTGGGGCACATTTCTTGAGTCCTACACAGATACACTATACCAATTTGAAATTAGCCTCTTTGCATTTTGTCTGTTATCACGACATCTTTGTTTGCCTCATTATTTTGCAATAAACAGTGACAATTAAAAAATAAAAGCATCAACAATGTGGGGTCAGCAAGGTGGTTCTGCTTTTACATTTAACTTTATCAAGAGCCTTTTTCTAATATCTTCTTTCTGTGAGCGGAGTCCGCTAATAACTAAACAAAATCAGTCAGTACAGCTTCTGATTATGAGTGCCAATCCTAAATTCAAAAGGCTTATTATTTTATGTTTAAGATAGCTTCTGATCAATGATTTAGAATATGGTCCCAAACATCAAAAGCTATCGATGATATCATGTTCACTTCCCTGCCTTGTGATGAATTTTGCCTGTACTGGGGGAGATGGTGCTTGCTCACATCGCTTAAGCTTTCCAAGTATTTCCTTTTGGTGTCCAAAGGCAAGAAAAGAAAGAGACAGGAGTCCTGCAACAGCAATAACTATAAAAACAATAGTCAAGACGAATTGAAATACGTATTGAGTGGAAAACACCGCAAGAGAGAATCCATCAGGACAACTCCCACAATTCCATATATTATGTGGAAGCACTAAAACAAAGTTCCTGATCTCTCTCTCTCTCTCTCTCTCTCTCTCTCTCTCTCTCCCCTTATTAGATGCACATTTCTTCCCTCTGACAAACCACTATATCTATGTACTGTTCCACATATCCTAGAGTGCAATTTGAGCCATCTGCAATGGACATGAACCTTCTGTCTCCTGATCATGCAGATGATGACTACATCGACATGGAAGTCAGCTCATACTCCAGTTTCCTCTCCCACTCGATGTCCTCTCCCCAACATCCTCGAGAGTTTGAGTTCCAGATGTCTTCGATCTCTCTAGAGAGAGAAACAACCACTTCACCAGCTGACGAGCTGTTCTACAAAGGAAAACTCCTCCCCCTTCACCTCCCTCCATGTCTAGAGATGGTAGAGAAGTTCCTCCAACACTCTAATCCGTGTTACGATGACGGAAGAAGTACATATGAGGAACATTACAGCACTCCATTGGTGACTAACCCTACCACCCCGACTACTACGAGTACCCCGTTTGAGTCGTGCAATATATCACCTTCCGAGTCGTGTAGGGCCAGTAGAGAGCTGACCCAGGAAGACTATATCACTGAGTACTTGACCGAGACGATCGACTCCATTAGAGAAAATCCAAAGAAGTCCTGGACGAGAAAGATTAAGTTGATCAAGCAATCCTCACTTGGTTCCAAGCTTAAGGCTTCTCGCGCTTACATCAAGTCCTTGTTCGGCAAATCGGGTTGCTCAGATGACGCTCATGCAGGAAACGCTAAAGCTTCAGGTGAAGAATCAGCTCCAAAAGACAGAGATTCCTCAAGTAATTGCGAGAAAGTGGCCAAGAGAATCCCATTTGGCCAAATCTACAGGTGCAAGAATCAAGGTTCAACTTCATTGCTGACACACCTAAACGAAGAGAAAAGAACTGACAATGGAGTTGGGGGTCATAGGAGGTCTTTTTCCGTGTCTATTAAATGGCATTCACCCAACAAGATTACATCCTCCTCCTCATCATCTAAATCATCTTCGTCCTCGTTCTCGAAAAGTTCAAATGGGTTTAATGAGTCGCAGTTCCTCAGGAGAAGCAGCAGCGTGAAATCCGAGATGGAAAGCCCAATCCAGGGAGCAATAGCGCATTGCAAACGGTCTCAGCAGTTCTTCCGTTCCAGAAAGAATGCGGGAGAAGTTGGGTTTCTATCGCTATCAACGTCAAGAATTTCTGTTAGTGAGGATCATGAAAAGGCCAGTTACCATTTGAGGGGATGAGAGAGAGAGAGAGAGAGAGAGAACAAGGACAAAGCAAACTTTTGATTGTAATTTCATTTGTTCCTTCTTCTTCTACGATTATTTTAATGACGAGTATGCTTTTTACTTTACGAAGCATAGCTTCCTGCATTGTAATATCGGAAGGAAGTTTCTCAATATGCCTAAACTTTTACTTTCTGGCAGTAATGGAGATCAGGAGTCACCGCACAATTTCCCAGCAGTTAATGAAAGTCAAATGATCGGATTTCAAAAGCATAAGGACAGGCATAACTTTGCAATAGCGAATACAAGTTGTGAGGAAGTATCGGCCTATGTCCTGAAACTGTACACTTTAGAGTTTAGACACTAATGGCTGATGGAGAGTCATTGTTCTAGTTAAGCAGAAAAAGATGCTGATATTTTGGAGTCAGACCATCGCAAAGACATTCAAACCGGAAATCGGTAAAAGCTCTCGAGACATGATGACCACATCGAAAAAGCCACGGAAATAAAATAATCCTTTCCTTCAAAGTGAAATTTGTTATAGAACTCCAAGGGCCCTCTCTCCTCCTTTCTATTGAAAGAGAAAAGAAAGAGGATGCTGAGATTAGTTTTTTCTATCCTGAAATCATATGAATAAATCTTGAGGTTGACCATCTTGCCCCAAGTGGATTCAACTTGAACTCTAGAATATCATGATCAAAGTAACAGAGCAGATCAGGATTATGATTGCAGAACCACCTCTATGTCAGAAACAACTAATGGAGTCCCGAATTCGTTGATGTAAACAGACACTAGCTTTCACGACAAAATCATTTCTTCATCAACCAATAGGACATGTAAAGCCGAGGGGAAGCAATACTTGGCAAAAAACTAAGCAACAACCAAGTTAATCGCAACCGAAAGCCTTCCCACTTCTTCAAGGAAAGAAAGAAGAAAAGAGGATGATAACTTCTTTAAGTGCAGACAAAAAACTTTCCTTTCTGTTTTCTGGCACAGCTCAAGTTGATTGTGGATGACCCAGACCCTTAAACTAAGTATGTATGTCAGTGGGATACGTGACAGGATTAGAGCCCAAAAGAAATTAGCAAAAAGACTAGTATGATGCTGTTGAGCACTAACCGATGCTGATAAGCATATCATAAGCAAGTGTTTCCCCACTCAAATTAATTCCGTCTAGTAGAGAAAGTTAAAAAGCTTGGCCTTATGTACCTAGCCACTTCCTTTTTGGGAAGAACAATCCTGATCCTTCATTACCCAGTGAAGATGCTGTTCAAAGTTAACCTCATTATTGTCGTGCTATCAGTCAGGTGGCTGCTCATTTTACCGTGACAAAACTTTCAGAACAGTTAAACTTTGTTTTGCTGATTACACACACACACATTCACACTGACATGCACGCGTATTTATATTGGTCTTCACAAAATCGCAAGGCAAAAAGAGCTAGCGGGAAGAATAATTTGTTCGATGGTTTCATGATTGAGTTCTTTAATGGACGACAAAGACTTGACGCAAAGCTTTGTGCAAGGGAGTCAGGTCCAGGTACATAGTGACTAGCAAACTCCAAACCCTCCTTATCATATAGCGTTTTTAACAATTCTCTACTTCCAAAAACCCAATACTAGCTTACGTCCTTTTAGGCATTGGGTGGGTCGGGTAACCGATTATGCCCGTGCCCCTTCCATCTACAGGTTGAGGTTTCTTCTGTATTTTCCATAATTCTTTTATCGAGGTTGGCTCCGAGCAATCTTAATGAACTCAATGACAATGCACAAACTCTCCAGGTTTCAAGGAGGCAAGAACCTTAAGTCGTGTGACATTTGATTCGGATACAGGCAGCCTCACCTAGCCTATTTGTGGTTAATTGAAAAGCTGAGGATGCATCGGGTAAGTTGAAGGTAAAGGCTTATGATTGTCGATGAAGTCAGAAAACAATGTTATTCCAACCAAAGTAAGACTAGTTGACTATTCATGTCGCAACAGCTACAAAGTATCATGCATACTTTACAGCTTACGTACATATGAAAATATCCATCTCGTGTGCATTGCAGTTTTGGTCTCACAACCACGATCACGAGTAACAAAGTTGATCCCATTTCTCATGTGGTAGGGCTGAAACAATACAACAGAACCCACCACATAATTTAAGAAGAGAATCTGACCAAAAAAAAAATTCAGAAGAGAAGAAAAGGAAACAGGCAGAGATATTGATGGATTCAAATGCTTGATAAAGATCAATATCCGGCCAAACAATGACCACAAACTCGAGAGGTGAAATAATTAGTCCTGCAGTCAAATGACATTAGCTGATAAGGGAAAGCCCAGCAAAATTTGTGCTTCTGCTGCACTAGATCTTGCAGTGTCTTTGCCTGAGAGGCAGGTTCTGATAGGTGCCAGACCCGTCACTTTTTTTTCACCTTTTTTTTACCACTTACTAGATAAGAAAGCATGCCCAACTTCAACATTCAACGACTGAACGATCCGATGTTATGGAGATCAATCTCTGAAGTCCTCATCCCTGCCATATACATTAAGGGAGCATGCTGCACAGATCTCACTTTCGATGACTTTCTCACGTTCATTTTGGTTGCTCCCAACACTACAAAGCCACCAAGCAGTGCACAGTCCTGTCTAAAGAGCATATATTCTATCAACCTCTGAGTTAGAGTAGTCGGACGGAAGCAACGAATTGGACCCACTTCTCCTGGCAGACTTCCCCTTCTTCCTCAGCGATCTGCTCCTCTTTGACTTCACGACATAGTATGTCATCGTACCGAGCACCCCAGCCATAATCACTCCCCCAACAGCTGTAACAAGGTCTGCAGCCCAAGCGTGCCGCCTACCAACAACTATGTACGATGCGGCCATAAAACCTACTGAAGTGCACACAGAAGCCAACCACATCAACTTGTTAATAACTTCTACAACTCGCCTCTCTGCTTTCGTTTCACCCCTGACCAAAGTTATTTGGACCACGACAACAGCCAAAGAGGTAAACAGGGCAATGGCATTGAAAATGAAGAATATTTTGAAAGACATGGTGGACACCACCACAGCCATCCCATTATCATCGTCTCCACCAGGAACCGTAAATATAGCTGCAAAGGCAACTGTTGCAAATAGCACAGCCACCACAGTCACAGAGTTGGTGGCATTGTTGATCCCCTCACGATGGAGCTTCCTGAGCTCTTTAGATATGTTATGAACATTTTTATTGGTTCTTTTGGTTTGCTCGAGCTGTGTGTGGACATCTTTCTTGATTTCGGTCACAGTTTTCCTCAATTCGTCTCTTGGTTGGTTTAACTCATTAGCTCTAAGCGCACCACGATGTCTAAGGCAATCTCTAATCTCAGAGGAATCTTCAGACAGGGGAAGTCCTTCAGCTATATCTAGAGGTGTTTTGTGGTCTCTAGTCAGTGCATTGACGTTTGTATCTGGAAGCATCAATAACTCATTCACAATCTGCAAAAGAAAGGTGAAGATCCTTGTTAGAACAAATGAAGGGGAGAGACAGAGAGACAGAGAGACAGAGAGAGCATGCAACAGGGCAGGGCAGGCAATAGAAGCAGTACATTAAGCACTAACACATAATGAAGTAGCATTTGACAACCTTTCACCTAGCAACATGCGGATAGCCAAAGGTCCAAGAAAAAGACAGCATTTGGTATCAAATTCTGCAATCGATAAACCATCTGCAGACACCATGGCAGAGACACTCAAATGTATGGTTATTACTAAATAAAATGATGCCTTTGACCCAACTTTGTCCGATTCAATAAAGAAGTAGGCATTTCAGGAAATCGATACCACTCATTCAAGAGAATTTTTAAGCCCAGATGGTAGTATCACGGGGTTAAGGAAGTTATCCACCAATAAAGAACATATATACACTAACTACTAACTGTGTCTTCAGACTTCCTTTATAAAACATGTACCTCTGCTCTCTTTTTCCTGGTTGCCACATGCAACGCAGTGTTGCCAAATTTATCGGGAAGCATCACTATAGCAGCATCTGCCTCGAGAAGTAATCTCACGACCTCAGAGCTTTGACCTTTCACAGCCATGTGCAGTGCAGTCTGCCCTTTCTTGTCTGTCCTCCGTGCCAACTGGGGATCTTTGTCCAGTAAAGCTTTCACAATATCAACATGACCCTGCCGAGCAGCTAAATGTAGCGCATTTTTCCCGTTCGTTCTAGTATTCTCTATCAAGCTGCAATCTTTTGCAAGAAGTTCGTTCACAACTGCTGTATGTCCCCTTGTAGCAGCAGAACTCAAAGGTGTTGAATTAGAGGGGCCAAGTGTCTTGCTTAATCCAGGGTCATGATCCAAAAGCACTTGCACAATGGCTGCAAAAAAAGAAACTAGCATGAGACTACTGGAGATAGTTGACAATCATGTAATGATAAGTGGCATTGGAACTTGGAAAGACACTTGAACAAGTCTTGAAAGGAAGTAGTATTGGAAATCAACATTAAGTATCAAGGATGATAGCCTATGAGAAGAAGAGTAACATTTGACTCCGAGGCCTATTAGTCCATATGTAACGACCACGGGTAGGTAAAGAGTAAGCAAAAGTTGGCTAAGTTGCACCACACCGCAAGATAGTGCTGCCTTTGCAATTAAAGAACGAGTATTATGTAGCACCGACGGACGTATTTTATAGCAAAGAACAAGTTCTATAATTCATTCTGCAACATGTGTATCTTGAAATCACTTCGAAGGTACCTTTTCTTTCATGGACTATCAAAAACAATCTAATGGTAACATTGAGATCTTAACATCGATTTGTAGCTATGTATATTTAATTAAGCTTTTGAAACAAAAGCTCCAATCTCAGAAAGAAACAGATGAGTGGGTAGAAAGGCTTACCATGGTGCCCTTGACTCGCAGCTGTATGCAACGCGTCAAACCCAGACCTATTCTTCTTCATAACACAATCCTTATTCGAATACTTCAACAACTCCTTGACCACATCAAGGTGCCCTTTCTCCGCAGCAGTATACAAAGCTGTCTCTCCCAATTCATTTATTTCATTGACCACTGCAGCCCTCACCTCCGCAACCTCTGCATCAAAATCTGTGCCACTCAAAGTCCCGACCATCTGCGAGTTGATATCATCAAGAATCTGTTTCACGGCAGCCAGATCACCCCGCTGGGCAGCCAAGTGGAGCTCGGTGTCATTGTGGCGGCCCGTAACCTGTTTTACATACTTTTTCTTCCCAGCCTGATCGATTCGCTTTCCGGAGTTGGATAACACAAGGGCAGGGCCAGTTGATGCTGACGATGGTGATGGAGACGGCGAGGGTTCTGCAGTGGCAATTTTGCTAGTTTCCACCGACGCTAGTCCCTTCTCTAAGTCCCTCTCAGCTCCTGTACAGCCAATGAATGTAAAGCCAGCACAAATTAATCCAACAATTATACCCACCGAATTCCATCTTCATCTGTTTGTTAAAAGAAAATGATTCGAGAAGCCGTATCCAAAAGGTAGACTTGAGACTTCCCCACCATCAAAATAATAACTTGCATTTACTTTACCATATAATTCACCTAAATTACATAGACTTCAACCTCAACTTCAAATCAGATACGTTAGTTGAAACATTATGCATCGGGTAACAACAGGATCGGAGCTATAAAGAAGAATCTTACTTTCACCAAAGATTTCCCGTGTCTTTACTAAGCAGAACTTCTTCTCCAGAAATAGGAACCACGACCAACAAGATTATAAAAAAAAAAGCACATAAACTTAATCGAAATTTATGCCAAATAATCGACCCAAATTCATGTGAAATTCAACCTCAATTACGAACAACGTCCAAATCTACACACTACGAAGCAAGAGAATCGGAGCCAGAGTGAAGAGATACTAAAGCTGGCCCAGCAAAGAACCGCCCCGAAAGCCACTGGGAAGATGCCAACCCTCAGAACGACAAAAACCCACAAACCCACTGAACCAAAAAAACTCATCCAACAAACACAACAGACGGGAAATGGAAAAGGGGGTGAAGCAAGAACGGAAGAATCGAGTCAAACGGCGGGCCGAGCGTACGGACGCGAATCTCGAACCCGCGAGCGGGCAGCAGCAGCGGAGCAAAGCAACAGGACCGACTGAGAGTGGGAGAGTGCGTGGAGGACTTTACCTTCCTCGATCGGAGAAGCCATGATCGCAGCTCAGGGGAAGGCAGGGACCAAGCGAGGAGAGACCCGACCGAGCGATCCCAGATGGTCAATCCGCTCGCCTAAGCACGAGCACAGCACACAGAGTAAAGAGAGAGAGAGAGAGAGAGAGAGAGAGAAGGAGAAGGTGGTGTGCGGGCGAGTCGCGAGAGGAAAAAGGGGAAGGAGAAGAGGACAAAAGGGCGGCAGGCGGAGGGACGAAGGAGCGGGGGAGGGAGGGGGAAGTTGCTGGGCAGCTTCAGCTTTTTGGTGGTGGTGGGGGTGGTGGTGGTGGTCGTGCCGTGGGGAGGGGAACCTTTTGCTTTCGGACAAAAATGGCCGCTCCCCACTCCCCACTCCTATACGTCTAGATTCCCCCGTGTTCTTACATTACATGTACACTGATATTATCCTATCTATGTCCAAAAATATATCTTCTATGCATATATATACATATCCATATAATAATCATTGATTTTATTAAATCTCCTCATTTTTTTGTATCTGTTCCCTCGTTCTCCTCTTTCGAATTCGTGCTTTTTATTTAAATAATGTCTCGAAGTTTTTAGAAAATCGCGTGAGACCGCTCAATCTTTTATTATGATTTAGGTTTGTAGGATGCGTGATTTTTTTTGCGAGCGCGCGAGTTCCAACCATGGTTACAATCATGGTTCAAAAGAGAAGAAATTCTTGAGGTTATGGTTACAACTGTGGTTCAAGTTGGGCGGAGGGTTTTGAACGGTGACATGCATTCTATTGACAGTTGTGGCACCATATCAATACTCGTCGCTCGAAATTTTATCATAGTGTTTATCTTTTTTTGTTTGCATGGTAAAGTGAATATCCTCCCTTTGCAGCACGGTTTGGAAAATTAAATATGATCCTGTAAAAACCAGAGGTTTTCAAAGCAGTAGTAGTTAGGGGTCAACATTGGTCCTTATTCAATTCGGGGGTGAGAATTAGCCTAAATCGGATTGAATCTGCTGGTTAAAAACCTAAGAACTAGCGAGACCTGCTCGGTTCCCAGATTTATTATCTGAACCGCTGAATCATCTTAGAACTGGTATATTGATTTACCCAAGCTTGTTTTAAGTTACTTAAAAAGATATTCGGTCCTAAGTGACTCAAAAAGACTCTAAACTACTTAAACCATTTTACCAAAGGACGCTGATATGCCAATAATGCGATAGAATTCAATATATCTAAAGTATGAAAAAGAAAAGGAGATTGTAACCCAATTCCTGAGTTTATCCAAAGGGTCGGGATTCGGTTCACATTTCAAAATATATGGTACCGGCCCTAACTAGGTAATTTCCAGATTCTCGATCAAGAATCGACTCCCCTCGAAACCAATCACCTTGGTTAGCAGCCCAAGAAATTCCAACGATGGCTAGACAATTGTTCCCAATGGGTCACGGAGTCAACCGCCTCCTTGACCTGAAATATAAAAATGATTGATTCAAGTAGCCTATCCAGATAGAAGAGGTTAGTAAGTAGGTTTTGAGTTTCCAGCTGACATTTCACTGCTCGAGAAAATCTGCGCCTTTGTGGGCAAAAATTCTAACAAAAAGCGTCATTGTAGTTGTTAGTCAATTATGGCGGGCATGGGTCGAAGGAAAGTCAGCCACCTGCCAGTGCTACTTGCTTTCCTCTCGCATTGTTCTTGTTCTGCATCACATACTTGGTCACCATGTCCAAGCAAACCACCTGGGACGCCATACCATGTGAAGGATTTCGTACTGCAGCATCGAGTTACTGAAGAAGTTTTTGCGCTGTTCGCGCGCCTTTCGGGAAGTAAAAGATTGGGCGAGAAGCTGGATGCTCTGTTGCAGTCTTGCAGATGACATAGTTTACTAAAATGAGATGGATTGAGACACCAACTTTTGCACCACTTTGTTAGGTATCCCATAAGCATAGAAGTGGTTGGTGACGGAGGCTTTTGTCTAACTTGTTTGAGGAAGAAAGAGAAGTAAAAGAAAAGATGAGAAAGAATTGCTCGAGGACCATAGCGAGGATATTGAAAAACTTGAACTTGCTTGATACTCGGAGTCGGTGACTCAGGGTCACGGGTCGCAACGACTGAGAAGAGAGCTCGATTAATGTTATCATTTCTTTTTTATGTGGCTGTGAGTGCGAGTCTATGATTATCATGCTTAAGAACATCCCCGGCGAACCGGATCAGAAAGCTCCAGCTCGATACCATATCCACTGAGTGAACTCAATGTAAATTGAGCCAATTGATTCCATCACGAGACGCTACGTTATGCTAAACACAGAGAAATGATTCACCCTGGAATTGGAATCCGACATAAGATTAAACATGAATCTTACACATCGAAACAGTAGAGACCATATAAGACCCACATTGCACTTTTCTTATCTTTCTTTCTAACCGCGATTGTGCCTCCACCTCCCATAACCGATTTGGGTTAGCCCCAGCCTCAGGACGACCACAGTGGCATGCACTCGGCATAGGCTCAGCATCTAACACTCATCCGCACCTTCATAGAAATTGCCCAGTATTGATGCACAGAATCTTCAACCAATAGGAATCGCAATTTTTGGTTAAGATAAATAAGTGCACAGAGAGACAACCGCAGGACCATAAAGAGAGACCACTTACTCAAACACCTCTTGGCCTATGTCTCCTTTTTCCTTATCGACCTAATCCTCCTTAATTTCATCTCATAGTAAGTCTTGATGCCAAGAGATCCCAGTAATATAACTCCCCCTGTAACCGTAATCAAGGTTGAAGCCCACTCGTTCTGCCTGCCGACCACTATATATATTGCAGTCATGAATACCACAGAAATGCTAATTGTCGCTAGCCATATGAGTTTCCCTGTTACCTCCGCCACCATGGCAAGTGCCTCTGGTTCGGTCTCTCCTCTGGTCACTGTGACCTGAATTAGCACCACCGCTATGGACGCGAAAAATGCTATGGAGTTACAGATGATCAATACTTTAACGGAGGTACTGCTCATGGCTAGAGGAATCCCACTACTATCACCACCACTGGGCACAGTGAAAATGGCTGCAAATGCAATTTGGGCTATGAGAATGGCAGCCATATTTACAGAATGTGCACTGTTGATCCCTCCCTGAAGAGCTTTATTGAGTTCTTTGACAGCTATGAGGTCATTAGCTCGGGAAGCACCCTTACGAGAAAGGCAGCTTGTGATGTTAATGGACTCTGGAGAATAAGGGAGCTCTTCAGCTATGTCAAGAGCAGTTTTGCGGTCCTTATTTGTTGCATTGACGTTGGTTTCCGGGTACAGTAATAAGTCCTCCACTATCTGCAAAGCTCTTGGGGGAAATCTGATTAGATGACACTGAATTCTAGTTTCCATGGATATCACAAGTTATAATTAAATAGTTGGGAAATGAAAATAAACAGGTTATCTTGGTGGACTGCACGCATGGATATATTGATAGGAAAGAATAAACTGGGTTTTTACAATGCATAAGAAGTTGCCTTCATTTGTAAAGATATCACCTGATTCTCAGCATCAAGAAAGAATGATTATAGCAGGCAGTCAGGACTTCATTTCGTTACAGATAGGGCTTTGAAAGTACTTGATTTGTAACCATCTGCACACTTTATGCATACAGCTCTGATGCTGAAGGGATGTTCCTTGACACTGATTTCAGGACGCTTGCATGACACTCGTCCCTCAATCAAAACCAAGCACCTGTGTCTACAAGTTACGGTTCTTATGTTCCTAAATTGCCCAGTTCTGGGTTTCTAATTCACGGCAAGTAAACAATGTGACACAAACAACGAATTTCAGTAAAAACTAATGAATTTGAAAGCATGATGGCATGTTATCATGACGAATATGTTCGAATACCCTTTGATACCAAACTAAATCGCAGCTTGCAAATGGGCTATTTAATACATATCATGGACATCTCGTATTGATAGAAAAATGGCAACTACTGTAACTTAAAAAGTGATTGAGTACTACACACATACTCTAATTATGAACCTCAAGAAGTACCTTATCTCGGGCCTTTCTTGTAGCAACATGCAATGCTGTATTACCAAGCAAGTCAGGAAGCACAACCACTGCTGGATCTGCCTCAATAAGCAACTTAACAACTTTTTGACTATATCCTTTCACGGCCAAATGCAATGCATTTTGGCCTTTTGAATCACTCCTCCGTCCCAATTGCTTGTCTTTGCCGAGCAAGGATTGAACAACCTCTACAAGCCCAAGCCTTGCAGCTAGATGCAACGCATTTCTTCCATTTGATTTGAGAACTGTTAGCAAGCTACAATCCCTTGCTAGAAGCTGATCAACTACAGCAGCGTGCCCTCTTGTAGCTGCAGCCATAAGAGGGCTGCTATTTGAGGGGCCGGCAGTCTTGATCAACTCGGGTTCATAATCTAAAAGCATTTGAACAATGTCTGCAATAAAAAGGTCCATATAAGCACAAACATGATTATTGGAATGCCATGACCCTCACGAAATCCACTTCTCATCCTTGCTGATTCGATTCTAGGTAGCTAGGATGTATGCATTTCACTGAGAGTACAGATTCTACAAGGGTGCACCTCTGGTTAGTGCCAAGTGTGTACCATTTTTTACATCTGCATTACAAAAAGATCTGCAAAATGGTAATTGCTTTCTAGAACATTTTCTGATTCAATGTTGTTGGGACTTCAAAAAAGTGGATAGAGCAAGATAAATGCAAAGCAATACTTCTAAATTTAATTTACACTACATGAAAATGTAAGCTCCTCCCTGAAATGTTTTCATATGGGCAAGGCATCAGCCCATGACTGGCCCAAAGACTTGAGCTATAGCCACTCATTATGTAATGACATAGATGCGATGGTATGATATGAAATCGGCCCCATGGTTTCAGTTGAGCTCCACCCTTTTGCAGTATAATGGTGCAAAGATCAGTCTTTCAGCAAGAGTATAAAAAACAAAATGACAGAAAGACCAGACATATCCTCAGAAATCAGGGGACATGAGGGAGCAACTGTCTATTACAATTTGCGGACTGGTCGAAGCTTGCCTCAGACAGAGGATTCCAAGGTCACTTCCATGCTTAGTGAACACATTTCTGTCCCATAATTCCTAATCGGTTTAAATGAGGTGACTTCACGTTCAATGACTAAGTATCCAACCAACCGTATAAACTATACGTCAGAGCCAACAATGAAGAAATTAAGAAATGTAGACATCAGGAATTAATCACCAGCATGTCCATGACCAGAAGCAATGTGCAGGGCAGTCAAACCGTCGATGTTCTTCCTCATAACCCCTTCTCTGGTCGAATGCTTGAGCAGTTCCTTCACGATGCTCGCATTCCCTTTTTTTGCTGCCACAAACAACGCAGTCTCTCCTGATTCGTTCATTTCATCCACCGATTTCAGAGGAGCAACGCTTACTTCTGTGCTCGCCCCATGGATCGGCCGTCGGCTGTCGATTTCGAGAAGGATCCGCTTCACGGAAGCGGCGTCATCCTGCTCAGCCGCTGAGTGCAACTCCGTGCTCTTGCGCGGCATGGCCTTGTTCTTCGTCAAAGATTGATCAAACTGCCCAGTCGTGCCCGAGTTTGGCGGTGGCAGCACGCCACTCTCTATGTCCCGGTGAAATCCTGGACATGAAAAGCACGCCAATCACTCGCTAACTACGGATAAGGAATTTGACAGGACTCAGGAGAGAGCCTCGACGGATAAAACTAAACCGAAATTCTCATCCCACAATTTGAGAAGATATCGGTAGATATGAGGGGGAGTGAGGGAACCTTCTGTGGCTGCCGAAGCCATTTGAACAGCTGCAGAGCGACCGGAGAGGTTGACCACTGAAGAAGAAGAAGAAGAAGAAGGAATGCTCGAGTTTCAATGTCATGTTGGTATGGTAATGTAAAAGACCGGCGGTAAGAACGGAGTTGATCTTGACTTGATGTGTAGTGGCTGTTCGAGTGAAAGTGAAGGGACGGGGAACTGAGGAAGTCAAACGCAAGGAGAGTAGACGCGGAATCGCAGACCCCATGAACGTATGATGGCCCATGCGATAGTATGAACATGTTGACTCGCCGAAGGTTTCTTTTTGTCGCTTCGTTAGAGTGATTGACGATCTTTCCAAGAAAGACGATACAAGTCCCACAAGCACTCCTCAAGAAGACCTATCTCTTTCATGGGATGGAATGCCAGATTTTATACTATTTCTTTCCCTCCAAACACGCTAAAGCTCGGATTTCAGACGTTGCTGCTTGATGACGCATTATGTGAAATTGTTTTATTGTTCCATTGCATTGCTTTCAACTGCATCCGGCCTGATGTTTCCCTCCCCGTTTACTGAATCAACTACCAGTCGATATCGATCGCCATCGTTTATTACCTACAAATTTGGACAGGGCAATCTAAACAACTTGACCGGAGGATAGGGGAAGAGTGGAGAGAAGCTCGAATTACTAATTCTGGACTGACAAGGCGGTCGCAGACGAGGTCGATTATGTCAGTTAATGTGAGAGTTACTTGTACAAAGAGTCCAGGACAATGCAAAAGACATGGAGTGCAAGTAGTTGTTGAAGTCTAAGAGGTCGAAGATTGGGTTATCTCGTCATGGGAATTATGGCGACGCATCGGAAGGGATGAAGATGAAGGTGGTAGAGAAGTGGAAATCGGAGAACACGGGTTGATAGTTGACCAAATTTTCGGAGCAATTTGGCATATTGGGCATTCTTCATGCAATAGATTCGATGAACTGAAGAATTTGCACCGCGAGCAATGTAAAATGAGAAGGCTTCTTCAGGGTGGCAGACGCCCAGAAAACACTCTCCAAGAGTTCATCTTTTATTGTTACTTTTCCATCTATTTTATAATTCCTGTACTCTACTTTTCCATGTAATATCAATTCCAGTCGTGCATTCATTTCCATGTATTTCCTTTCAATATAATCTCAATTCCGTTGCATTTATATTTCCTCACATTTAGATTATCGTGCTTATGTGAGGAACCACCAAGCGATTTTGGTCACCCTCCAATTGTTTGAAGTTTGGATCGCCTTGGCAAATGACAATTTTCGTCGAAGCATTTTGATCATTTCGGAGTCTGCATAGGCCTTTTTGACCCTTTGAAAGATTTAATATCCCTCCACGGAGTCACATACTTAAGTATCACGACTCCGAATTAATTTTCTAGAATTTTTCCTAATTTAACAAATTCAATTTTAGAGTCGTGATATGTCGGAGTTATCAAGTAACTCATGCAAAGCATTTATTATCATAATATCCTATATAAGATTAGGTAATGGGTAGATCCCAACATGTCGCCTATCTAGTCTAGAGTTTAGGCACCATATTGATCATTTAACAGAAGAAGTTATACGCATTCCACTCCAACGATAATAAAACGGCAATTCATTTAATTTCCATCCACCATTGAAATTAAAAAAAGAAAGTTACTTCGACAAACAACACGAATCAAGGGTCCCCATGTCAAACTTAAGAGTTAGGGGATAATTCGAAACTGTCTCCTTGGTGTCGGTGGTGTTTGATAAACAACTCTTGTTCAATAGAAAGCAAGAAAAACAAAAACAAAAGCCAAAACCAACAATAGTTCCATTACCTTTGATTTTCTCACGCGATGGCAAACGCACACACCCTGCCCGATCAACGCACCATCTCGGCCTCCTGGAGCCGGATGAAGTTGAGGCACTCGTCGTTGAGCCACCCGTACTTGTCCATGAATGTGTTGTCGAGGCTGAACCTTGGGTAGTCCTTGAGGCTGTCCTCCCACATGTTCGGCCTTTCCAGGTCCCTCATCACCTCCCACACGCACGTGTTGGTCTCGAACCCGGCCCCGGGGCTTATCATCAGCACCTTGTCCCCTCTCTTTCGGCTGCTTCTTCGCCTCCATGTAACCCAGCACGTACCAGTTCCCGCTCGCTGACGTGTTCCCGAACCGGTGCAGCGCCATCCTCGACAGCTCGAGGTCATCCTCGCTCAAATTCAACTCCTTCCCGACTGTGTCTATCACTGCCTTCCCCACCGGGTGGATGCAGAAGTGGTCGATCCCGGACTTGAGGTTCAAGTTGAGGCCTGGGCCGCCGTGGGCCTTCCGATTCTCTCTCTTGGCGAATGGGTTGTTCGCAAGGGTGTTGGCGAGCTTGTATAGGAAGAGCTTGCCGACAGGGAGGACCCGGGGCAGCAGGATCCGGAGGTTTGCCTCGAGGGCCTGCGAGGCAGCCTCGACAAGCAATTTCGTGATGCGGAAACCCTGGTGCCCCTGCCCATCCTCCTCCTGGATGCAGCAGCTATAGGACTCGTCCTACGAGCCGTGGCGGACGCGGACGGAGTGGCCGAGCTTCATGATGGCCCCGGTCCTTGGCCCGGGCCCGGTCATTGGTGAGGAGGACGGCACTGCCACCCGTGCGAAAGAGGCAGTTGGAGATGATCATGGACTTCTCCTTGGCGCAGTACCGGTGGGAGCCGATGCACTCGGTGCTGACGACAAGGGCGAGCACGTTGTCCTGTGTTTTGAAGAGCTCTTGGACCAGATGGCTCGCGACCACGCTGGCACTGCAGCCCATGCCTGCGCGAGTCAGTTCACTACGAAAAAACAAGGATTTAGCTACGAAAAATTAGCGACGAAAAATTTTTCGTCGTTAATTTCTTAGGGAATTTGCGACGAAAACTAAACTCGTCGCTAATTTGCGACGAAAAAATATTCGTCGCTAATTTGGGACGGAATTTGAGACAAAAAAAAAAATTCATCGCTAATTTGCAACGGAAAACAGATTCGTCGCTAATTAGCGACAGAATTTGCGATGAAAAGAAAATTCGTTGCTAATTAGCGACGGAATTTGCGACGAAAAGTAAATTCGTCGCTAATTTGCGACGGAATTTACCACGAAAACTATATTCGTTGCTAATTTGAGACGGAAAAAAAAAATTCATCCCTAGCGATGAAAAATAATTCGCCCCTAATTTGCGATGGAATTTGCGACGAAAAATAACTGTGTTGGCACTTTCGTCGCAAAATTCGTCACTAATTAACGACAAACCATATTCATCGCTAAATTTTTTTTTTTGGTAAGGTTCATTACTAAATTTTTTATTTGCTGAATTTTTAATATAATAGGTTCGTCGCTAATTAGCGACGATATTTGCCACATTTTGTATTTGAACGTCACTAATTAGCGACAAACGATATCCGTCGCTTTATCTATGTATTTGTATCTATATCTATGCTTCGCTCCAAGAGAAGGAAAAGGAAGAGAAGAAGAGGAGAAGCCGAGGCCGAGAAAGGTAGAAAAGATCATTGGAAATGCTTCTGCTTCTTGCTTATGCTTCGCTTTCATTTTCCTCGCAAAACATCATCATCTTCTTCATGGACAACTTCCCAGAACTTCCAAACCCAATATCCTTCTCCTCCTCCGCCGCCGCCAATGAGTGCACATTCCGCTGTGAAAAAGAACGAGAACGCGTGAAAAAGAAAAAGGAGATAAGAGGCTGTGATGATTCGCAAGAATACAGAGGAGAGAGGAAATGAAACGGGTAGGCACCGAGAACCGGCCGTATCTTGGCGGGGCGGCCAAAACTGGTCGCAGTCATGGCGGAGTTCCTATCAGTTGCCTGATCTAGGCGAATCTGAGCCTCGCTATCTTCCAACACCCCTAATCTCTTCTTTTTTTCCCCCCTTTTTCCCAGATGTGATTATACGAGTTGTTCTTGTGTTTTACTATGACAAAAAAGTGGGTTCTTTCATAGCCCTTTTCTTGTATGAGCTGTAGTTGGCTTTTGATTTTGCAACTGCGAAATTCTAGGTTCTCCTCTGACCTAGCGAAGATGAGCGATGATTCTTCAAAATCGTCTCTTTTAAGTTTCTTGAGTTGTGTTTGGGTTTTGGGTTTCTACATCGACAAGAAAGGACCAAGGTCGTCTCTTTTCTTCTTTCTTTGCTCCTGCAGGAGCGGCATTCTGTTTGCTGCTCTTATTTTGTGGTACCAGGTTTGCCTTTGCGCGTCGAAATTTCTGGCTTCATTCGACAAAAACTACCATGGATTGGTTTCCAGATCGATTAAGTCTGAAGAGCTCGCCGGAAAGATCGTCGAAGTCGGAAAAAAGAGATGACTCGGTTCGATGTTTTTCGCCGTCGCCCAAAGACGGCGAGGTCGAGCGGCGGCCATGGCGAGGCCGCTCGGCCTCCTCTAGATCTGGTCGAGGTTGAGTGGCCTCGCCATGGCCGCTCGACCTTGCCCTCGCCAGCGCCGGCGAGGGCTAGCCTGGCCCATGGCCGGCGAGGTCGAACTCGCCAGCCTCAACCGGTCGCCGATCCGACGAAGAATATAGGGAAAAAAAGAAAAATAAAAAGAAATTCGAAAAAAAAAAATTAACACGTTTAATCAGATTCTGAGTAAACTTGCAAGTCTGAAGGTTTCAATGGAAGATGAAGACAAAGCCCTATTACTGCTATCGTCGCTACCAGCATCTTATGATCATCTGCTGACGACACTCTTGTATGGAAAAGAGACGCTTGAGACACGGATGAGGTCACCGCTGCCCTATTATCTAATGATACGAGAAAGAGGGTTAACAGTCTACAAACAAGGTGAGGGTCTCATCGGAAAAGTCAAGGAGCGAGAACGGGGAAGAACAATCCAATGGGGATCCGGAATAAGGGTCGATCGAAATCAAGAGGGGGTAAAACGAAACTCTCTTGTTATTATTGCAAGAAGGAAGGCCATCTGAAAAGAAATTGTTTTAAGAGAAAGGAAGACTTGAAGAAGCACGAGAAAACTTCTAATCAAGCAAGTGTGGCCGATAGCTCAGACGGTGATGATGGAGATCTTCTCTCTATATCATCAGGTAAGAATCAGTTCGTTGATTCATGGATTTTAGACTCTGGATGCTCTTATCACATGTGTCCGAATAGGGATTGGTTTGATTCATACCGGTCA